CGGAAGGAAAAGGCTCTTGGAGTATTAACCTTGCAGCTTCTCTGGATGGGAACTGGAAACTGCATCTTCCCTGATGGGTGGGAAGAGAGGAGGTCGAATTCATGAAATACAGACCCATTTACACAATGTGAAACTTGGGTTCTCCTACCCTCAGCTCTGTGGTGCTTATCTGTCTCCACAGCAGAGCATCTCTGTTTGTTAAGCTCAGTATCAGAGATGCTCTTTGTAGAGGGAGCAGCAGCCCATATGGCTAGCAGTGCCACTGGCAATCCTAAACAGGTTCATCTACACTGGGAATACCTGTTTCTAGTCCTGAAACACTGAAGCCAACTCCAGTGTATGATGTCCTCCACTCGAGGAGTAAGAGTTACATGATGATAATAGCTTAGTAACGTTTGTAAAACTCTGTTTATACAGTTAGATTTTTTAAATATATACATATCTACTTCAATTTTATTTTAGGAGGAAGACATCTAGAAAGCTGATATGGAACTCAGAGTTTCAGTGACTCCAAATTTGCCTAATTCGCATTAAAAAAAAAAAAAACGCTACCCCTTGAATTTGAGTCTGTGAGCTGAGCTCTGGTTCCTGCACCAATAGAGAAAATAAAGATACCACAGGGTAAATACTGGTCTTGGCAGCAGCCACTCAAACTCCCAAATCATCTATCCATGCAAAAAATTGAATATGAAAGCTGATGAGGCATTCTTCACATGGAATTTAATTATGCCAATTTTATACTGTTATTTTGAAGCACTTCATACTTTAGCGTACTAAAGGCCATATCCTGCATTATCTGGATTCAGTGAATTCCAGAGAATGAAGGGGTTAAAGCAATGTGCCCTTAACAGGTCCATTAATTCTGTGAATGACTCTTTCACCAAAATGGAACAAAAACTATCTTTGAGAAACTGCTCTTGGACAAGAAGAAAGTGCTGCTGCCTAGAATTCATTTATAATCGAAAAATCAAGTATTACACAGGAGAGCTCAACTGTTGTTCATCGTTGGTAAGATTTAGAAGTCGTAACTGGATGACAAGAATCCAGTTACGACAACGGAGACCAGTTAAGCGACAGATTTTACAAGCAAAAAGCCATTTCTACTGCAAGTAAGCTGGGACACATTCTACTACTACGCAGGTCGACATCTGGATAATCCATACAGAATCAAAACAATATTCTAGAAAGTCTTAAATCTCTGTCATGAGAATCAAAATAATATTCTAGAAAGTTTTAAATCTCTGTCTTGATATTTTATCAATATATTTCCATATCTTTAATTTAGAGAATGTATTCTTACGTACATATTCAACACCAAATTGCAATAAAATCTTTAAAATTGCCTGATAACTTATTATCTAGATGGCAACTTTGGTTGGAATAAAGATACACACGGTTTGTTTAAAGAACACACTGGGTAGTCTTTTAAATCCCATGCTGCTGTGAGACACGGACACATGCAGAAATAGTGGCCCTGGAATCCAAATCTATGAGAATGACAGAGCTCACGGGGGACAGAAAGAAAATGTCCACCCTCCCCTGAGTCCTTATATGGCTTTTTTTCCCCCCTGACATTGCAGAACATGGCTTGGTAAGTCTCGGTGTGCTCGGCATGCTCTGAGCTTGCTCGGTTTGCTCAGCTCACAAACCTGCCTGGCACCTGTGCCACAGAACTGCTCTTGGGAAATGGGAACCTCTGCAACAATGCCCCTTTTTTTTCCTTTTTTTTTTTTAATGAAAAGGCCACCTTAATATCCTATATTACCTTAGAGCTTAATTTATTATACAGTGCTTTAAGAGTCTTCATTTACAAATGAAGTCACTTCGTCTAAATACAGTTCCAGCATATGGTACATAATAAGATATGATGGTTTATTGTAGATGATGGTAACAAACAACTGCTAGCTAGAAAGTCAACAAGAAGGAAGTTTCACAGGGTATAGATAAGAGTATCCACGGTATATGATTGTTGAGAAGTTTATCCCATATATCCCATTCCATCAAAAGAAGTGTTAAACCATAACACACAGAATTGTGAGAGTTCACAGGCTTTTCTAAGTAAATGAGTCAAAGCATTTCTTTCACTAGAGTTTCTGTCTCTGGTGAGCAGCTCACTGCAACTCCATTAATAAGTGCATTATTTTATTTGCATGCTTTAGCTTTCTTGAAGATCTTAAATTGTTATCTTCTGAGATCCAGGTACATGCCATATGGTGTTTGTGCAACTAAAAGTGAAGGGGTCTATTCTCGTCTCGATGGGTGGGGAATCCCTGAACACCAAGAGAAGAACATATCCTTCAGGGTTAAAGGAGGGAACACATTTTTATTTGATTACAGGGCTTAAGGAAGTGACTTATATTTGCTACAAAGAATATAAATCAGAAGAGCTGTAGGTTGTTTTAGGATTCCGGTAATGGTTTGTCTGAGGCTTCATGACGCCTAAATATATATTCCCCTAGGAAACTATTTTCAAATTGAAAAGTAATATTTTGTTCGTCATAATGTACAACTGCACAAACATCCTTTACTTTCCTACGGTGGCTACAGTGGCTTCTACTGGTGTGCTGCATAACTGGGGTAGAGAGGTCATCGAACCATAGAAGACTGTAGACCAGGTACGACTACAACCCACCATGTAAATCACATGTAATTTCTACTATTTTAACAGCAAGCATAGTTAACACGAAGCTTGGTTTGCACCATGGTATTCTCAAAAGAAAAAAAAAAGCAGTAGAATATGTAGATACTTCTTCCTCCCGAAATATATATATTGTCTCAGTACAGCATTTACAAATGTATTTATGATAGAGCACTATATCCATTGCGGTTTTTATCCTTTCAAGATAATTGCAAATAAATGTGGTATCAGTTTTCATATGTTTCTAAATAAGCACATTAAAATTTATAGAGACTTAAGCTGTCTCAATGGCTTAACTATGCAACCAGGGTTTTCATAAATTCTGGCACTGCAAAGTGGGGAAGCCGGCTGTCTCCCCCTGTCTCATTAAGGCAGGCTTTTTACGAATTTGTGATACCGGCTCTGAAATAATAAATCCTGGGCCTCTTTAGCAATCAAATGTCAGTTTAATATCAACTCTGAGTGGCAATTTCCAGCTAGTAAATTAAATCTGTTTTGCAATCTGTTTCACTCTATTTGCCATTTAGGATGGCAAAATAGTTCTGTGAGAAGTATTAGCTTCTAAAGAATTTATGATTGTCATTTAATTTATCATCTGCCCTGTAGTTTAGGTAATAGAAATACTTAGGTTTTTTTTTTTGAGCTCTGGTAACTCAAAATGTGCCTGGAATTGCACCAGATTAAGCTGCTTTTTCCATATACACCAAGAGTAAACACAGGTTCTCCTAACACAGGCTTTAAAATTAGCTAGGAATTGAATAAAACTGTGCAAAACGGACACTGTAAAAGCAACTTTCTGCATCTACCCAGGACAGACATTTGCTGGAGAGGAGACAAGCAACTTCGCAGAAGCATATCACTTACAAAGCAAACTTACCTTGCATTAATGAGGTACTGTGCTAAGCTGATGTTTGCAGGGGATCCTGTGATTGTAACTTGCCGTTCTGCAGAGCCTTCTGTGGCATTAGCAATCTTGATCTGCGCTCCTGACATCTGCCTGATTTCATTTATCTTACTGCCTTGTCTGCCAATAATGCAGCCTATTAGCTGGAGTGGGACAAAGACCGAGATTAGTGCCACAGATACAAGCAAAAACAGGTTAACTGCAATTTGTAGTACTGATTAAAAAAAAAAAAAACACACATGGCTATGAAAGACTCAATAGCAAAAGAAAAGATTTTCGCTGTGCTGTTTGGTAGGAGCAACTAGCAGGGTCTATCGGCTTAACGTTCATACTGGTGCAATTCCAGTCTTGTTACTCACAGGGCTAGGTATCTGCTCAGCATCACAGATTACTTTGCTGTCTTCTCTGGCAGAAAGTGGCATTATGCCAGGATCAACACTAGATCCTGTCCCGCTCTGAGTTTCTAGCCAAGAACAGCAGCTGGAAGCCAGGCTGGAAGCCAAGCGCTATCACTGCTGGGTTGTGCTGGTCTCCTGTGGCTGCTAGTCCCAAACCTTCCTTGGCAAACTTGGTCCTTGCTTGGCCAGATACTGCACTATTAAAATCAGTGGGATTTACAGCCATGCAACCTAAGACAGAAATGGGCAAAGGGAAAGATGGCAATCTGCTCCCAGAGTAACTATGTTCCTTTACAGGAGGCTCACACAGCCTGCATTTTGCGAATAAAATCCAGCCTGTGCGGGCACTCCTCGATCCCATAAAACGGCACTGCTGTTAACACTGCCACTAAACACTCTTTTAAAGATTGCTTAAATGCACTTGGTGGAGCTACAAGCACCTGGACTTGGAGTGCGATGTTTTGAAGAAGTCTTTTACCACACGCTACGAGGCCTGCAGCTGCAGGGAGCGACAGGGGAGCGCGACGGCCGCGAGCGAGCGCCACACCGGCAGCTGAGGTGGACACCACGGCTTCCGTGACGGCGAGGAGACGGCCAGCCCTACGTCTGGGGACAAGGTGGGCTGGACGCTACCGAGAGCCAGCAGAAGACAAAAATGTTGCTCTCCTGGAATGCCAACATTGGGCCCTGGTTGCCGGTTTGGCAGAAAAAAGAGTGCAAAGATGCAGAGACTTCCTTGCCCGCCGACCCTCTCTGCACTGCTTTTGCTCCTGGCATATTACTGCTTCCATCAGTGTGGTACCTCCAGCCCCTGGCCAGAAGGTGATTCCCATTGTCCAAGCACCTTCCGGACACTTTATCAGGCTAAAAATACTATGCCTGCGCTACGCTCAGTGACAGACAAGATACCAAAGAGAGAGTCCAGACAGACTCAGGGCACAAGGAGCTCTGTCCATCAGACAAAAAAAAAAAAAAAGAGCGTTTTTTAAAAGAAACACACATGGAGACTTTCCCATTTTCTTTAAACACTAGACCTCTTTTAACTCCTTATCCTGAGAACCCGCATGAGCATGGGACTGCCAGGTACCAACGCGCTGGCCTTTATGCACCTTGTCAAGATCCCTGTGATGAGACGATGGCGGAAACTTCTGGATGCCAACACTTGCTAGGGATGTGGCCGTGCAGGAGGTAAATCCTGTGGATTAGCTACGAAAGTAGCAGTTGCTGTGGCAGCTCAGGGACCCTGCTCTTAGTGAGCTGGTGGGACAGGGAGTTGATCTTGAGCTTTGTATCACCTGTGACTGCTTTGAATTTGAAGCACGGTGATCTTTAGGATTTTTCTGTGTGCATATGCCAGCATCTAAGCATACACTAAGTATTATTATCAGCATAGGGTCCCCTAAATGTCTGCTTTCTATACTTTATTCTCACTGGTCTCCATGGTTCACAGGCAGTGAGGATGAGGCAGGAGAGAAGGGTGCTTACAGCACAGCTGGTAGATGTGATGAAAGCCAGTGGTGGCTTCTGTTTTTAATCCCATCATCATTTTGAGGAGTTGAATGTTTTCCTTCCCGTGAATCATTCACATGCCATACAGTAGACACAATTTACCCAAATTTGCCTGAAGCATTCCCTGCGGTAGCAGCAGAACAGAGCTCCCAGGGTCATATTTACCTGCCTGTTAGCTAGAATTGTTCATGGAGATATGAAATCAGCTTGGGATGGCCAAGTGGAGGCCATCAGTATTTCCCTCTGCCAACTGTTCTTGAAGATCTTGATCTTGAAGCTTTTGCTCAACAATCCATCCTTTAGTATTGATGCTCTTGTTAAGCAGTGCTTAGGCTTTAGGCTCAGTGAAGCAATAATTCTGGCAGCCCATCACATCTTCAGAGTCTGTAGAGTGATGCCAGGCCTGAATATGCATCTGGTTTCTTTATATATTATATATATAAATAACAGAAGAACGTACACTGCACTTACTTCCTCAAGTCTATCAAAAGCAGAGGTGTGAAAATGCTGTACAATTACTTAATATAAAAATACAAGTTGTGCTGTTATCATTTCAGTGCGGTGCAGGGAGCGGAGGGCGCTCTTGCTGACCACAGGTGTTGGCGCTGGTTCAAAGGGGAATTGCATGGTTCTTCAGGCAAGTTAGGAGCACGCGGCAGCTTCATTCTCTTGTTCAACAAGTCAGTGAAGGCACCTGAAGGGTTAGCCAAGAACTTGCCATTTTCATGTGATGGAGGACTTCCAATGATCCTTCTGTGAACCCATGTGGATCAGCAGCAGTAATCTGCAATCACCTAAACAAGCGTGAGTTAGATTAAAAGGGCTCAGTCCAGATGAGTCAAGGATAATATTTTGATCATGACAACTGTCTGCAAAGCAGGTAGGAAACTTGAGAGTCCTGTTATGGGCTGGGCTGTTTCTGGAGGCCTTTGGCACACTGTACTTTAAAATCATGCTTGACAAGAAGAAAAGGGCACCATCTGAATTCCAGTCCGAGGCTCTGTCCTTTCCCTGTGGTAACGGGCTGCTCAAACGTGCTGTTTCTATAAATCATGGCCTGATTCATGCTGCACGGTCACACCGGCTTGTGCGGCACACGGTTAACGCACGGGAATCACAGCGACGTGGGAGTGCTTGGGCTTTCATCCCTGATGCTCATCCTTTTTCAAAATGCCATATTACTCATGTTCAAATTTGTGTAATACCTGAATATTCAAGAAAGTCTGCTTTCTGGAAGCAGAAAGGTCCAAGGAACCGGTTTTATTCTGTAAAGCTTTGAGCAGTCAGGCCCTGGAGATTTGGTTTTACATAGTAACACCTGGCCAGCCTGGCTCTCAGAAGTCATGACAAACTGCATCCAAACAAATGTTTCTCCTTCCAAGACTAATCTTTCTAATGGCATCAGCTAATGCTGCTCACTCATTCTTTAGCTGGCTATTATTTCACATACTTTGGCAGGTTATGTGCACTTCAATCCCCAAAAAGCAAAGATTCCTCCTAATTTGAAAGCCTTGCATGAAATGTGTGTTGCACTGACAGGGATTTGCTGCTTTTCCAACTCGGCAGGTAAGGTTAGGGAACGAGCAGGACAGTAATGTGTAATATTTTTCAAGGACTTTAGGCACTAAATTATTTGACATTCACCTGTTTGCTTAGTATACTGCAAGCCTGACTCTCACTTACAGATGAAAAATCAGGAGAGAGTTCTCCAGAAAACAGGTGATAAAGAAGGATGTATGAAAGGCCTACTAGATATAAATATATATGTATGAATGCATATGGGTGTACATATATATATATAAAATATCCTCAGTGTACATTTATGCTTAATAGTCTGTGTGTCTGACAATTTCCTTTTGAAACCACATCTCTGCCACAGGAGTGATCTGCAAAACTTGCACGTGTGTAAAAATCACCATTTGTCCTTACACCTCCAAATCTCCAGATACTCCTTGTGCTATGAGCACTGGGGAAAACCTCTGACGTTTACCACACCATTTGTGACCTGTTTTCCCTTCTTCTAGTCTACCTCACTACCTCACTTTTATTCATGACAACAAAACAAAACAGATTCTCTTCTTTGTCCTTTTCTGGTTTTCTTCTACCCTCAGTAAAATTCCCCTAGTAGCAATGTAAAAAGGAGGGGTGAATCAGGAATCTGAACTCCTAAAACGTGGGACTGGCAAGAGGGCTACTATGACACCCCTGTCACACTCTGCTGCTGGTGATTGATAGAGACAACTCCACCATAGATCACAGGTCACATCACTTCAGAATCAAGCCCTTCAGGCCGTCCTCCCATAAATGCTAAACTCACTGATGTCACTTAATATAGAAAAACAAACCAAACCAAACCAAACCAAACCAAAAACCCCAACAAGCCCCCAAAAAACCAACAAAACCCCAAAACACAGTATCTAACATGCATGGGTTTTTTTAATACAAGTATTTACAAAGTGGAAAAAACAGATTCCATTTTGCACTGTGTGTTTCATGCTGGGACAAAGGGCCAAGCAGGCAGACTCGGTTCCAGCCCCGGCGCTGACCACAGAGGTGGATGGGTGGGAGCCCCTGGGCTATCTGCCGTGAGCCCAGACCAAGCCCTGGGCTCTGGCAAAGCCCTCGTGTTAGCAGCAAAGCACCCCACCAGAGGGACTCAGCTACCTCTTGTATGGTGCACTCCGGGCCCTCTGCTTGCTGCTGCCCGTCCTTGTCCTTCTCTCCTCTATCACTTAGGCACTCTGGGTTTTGATTCTCGCACATGGAGGCTTTTACTTTAGTTGTTCTGTTTTCAGTTAGAAACGCCAGGGCCACAGCACTCTCCAGGGAGTGATAACCTCTCACGGGGTGATTACAGCTCTTTACAGACTTACTGCAGGGCCTTGGAAAACATGCTTAAACACTCTGTGCCTTAACAAAACAGCAATAATAATAAACCTTGCTGTTCTTGCCAGGGTCATATGAAATCTGGAGCACGCTGATTTCACAGGCTCGGTAAGAAGCTGAGATGCTGTGTGCAGACACAGGCATTGCTCTCTGCTCGCAACCTAGCGGGGCTGCAGGCTCGTGTGCCCCCCAGCTCCCTGGGGGCCCAGGGCCAGCTCCCACCCCGCTCTCCCCACAGGGCAGCAGGTGCTTCAGGGAGAAATTCTTCTTAAGGCCAAGCAGTGCCTTGGTCTCCACAGGGTCTCATTTGCCTTCTGATGGACACTGAGCTTGGGCAGCCTTTCCACTGAATCTTGAGCTCGTCTGGACAGGTCCTCTTGAGGAACCAAAGGATTTTTGCATTAAAGGAAGACAGAGACCTGGCCATGTGCACATGTATCAAAAGTGGGGCAGGCTTTTCCCGTAGCATTCCAACAGTAGCCTGGTTGGAAGCCACCTCAGCATCAGAGGCCGGGGCATCTCGAGGTTGCCTTGGGGCTTGGGCCAGCTCATCCTCTGCAGAAAATGATCCCCAGCTCCACCAGCCTGGGAGTTCAGGCTCACTGGTTCCTCCTCAGCAACACCCACGAGGAGGAGGCACCGTCCTGACCACCCCAGACAGCTACGTGGAGCCAATGCCAGATTTTACTCTAAGCTACAACGAGAGCATCTACCCACACAGGTTCCCTCTAGGCTGGTTGCAGGGAATTAGTTCCAGCTCCATGAGAAAATGCAGCTGGTTCTTCAGCACACCATTTCCAACTTAGATGGTTTTGCATTTCTGCTTCTATGGAGTATGGAGAAGATTTATGGTTTGCTTAAGCTTCTCTTGGTGTTTTCTGAGGAAAAGGTTGCTTTCCTGTTATGTGTCTCTGTCACTCTCTCCCAAATATATAGGAACCATATCTTATTTTTAATAAAAGGGAATTTTCAGTTATTGACTCATTCATTTACTGTCAAAGGCCATTTTGTGGGGTGGATTAGGCCACAAAAAAAGTGTTAAAACATCTGACTTTTGTGCCCAACTAATTCCACCCAGAGAAACTATCCCTTCTACTCCCTGTCTCCCTCTCTAGATCTTAGGAGGGTGGAAGCCCTAGGGTTTGTTTAAAACACACTTATGGTGTGTAATTTCCATGACAGCTGGAGAAGACCCCAGCATGGAAGGCAAGGCACACCGGCAACGTCTCCTAGAAGAGGGGTCCACTGCCAAAGGACTCCTGCTTCGGAGGAGCTGCAGTCAGGTAATCACCCACCTGTGGCATACAGTATCATCTCCTGTGCTCTTCACTCCTTTTGGGGTAGGTAAATAATCAGAGCCATCCTTTCCCTATTATTTCCATGATGAGCTAGGGAAACTTGCTCCGATACATCCACTTACTTTGATTTTTGGAAAATATCATCAACCGAGCTGCAGGGCAGTGCAGCCTGGCCCTAGCCTGGGCCTTTGCCTCCTTCGTCTCAGAACCACAGGCTGCCTCAGGATCGCAGCAGCCACCCTGAGTTTCTCCATGCGAGCACACAAGTGGCGGGAAAATGTTCCCAACTTTTCCAGCACAGGAAGTCCAGGACTGCCCACTTTGGAGGTCAAACATGGGAACTCCTTAGATACAGCAGAAGCTTCTTGGCAGTGCTGGGCTAATGCTCTCATTGCAGAGATGGGAGTAACCAAATGTCCCTACGATGAGGAAAAGGCGATCCAAGAAAGTGATTTCTAAGAGGGACTTGGAGCAATGTCTCTTCTGCTTCTTTCTAAAGACACCCACAATATCTAGAAAGGCAACTCTTCTACACTTGCTCTTTGGAGAGGAAGGCTGGGCTTTCAGCATATAGAAAACAGCTTTTGGTGAACTGCATTTCTTGGCAATTCTTGCAATTCTTGGCGCGCTGCATCAGGCAAACACCATGGCCTTGCTACCGAAATTCGTAACAAGAGAAAAGATACTCTGGTCACTGCTTTAGCCCCTTTATACAAACAAATGAACAGCGTGTGGCACTGCCTGAGGCCTGCGTCTGCCCTGGCCTGCTGCTTGCAGCAACACCCAGCACCGCTGGCAGCAGCCAGTTCACTCACTGCTGAAGCCGAGACGCTGCTCTGTAGGAGGGGATGCTCTTTCCTTCCCTCAATACTGCAGCCGGGGGAGACAACTACGAAGGACCGAAGTGTCACTTCTGCTGTCCCACCACCAGACCGGCCAAGGGCTCTGCAAGGCGCAGAGCTGCTTTGAGCTGCCCCACTGCTGCTGTTTGCTCCGAGCTGTCAAGAGGGATGTCAGCATGTGCAGCTAGGCCAGGAGACCCCGTCTGCCTGCCCCAAGCACAGGTTGAGCATCCACCTTGGGAAGGCAAGAGGGGAAGCTACTACCCACCCTCAGTCCTCCCAAAAGAGAAAAAAGCTCCCAAGCAGCCTGTGACACCCTTGCAGAGACCCCTTCCTGTCACATCCACGTGGAAGCACAGCACCAGACACCACACACACGCATACAACACAAACAACACGGTAACACCATTTCACCAGTTCTAACACCTCTTCAGGCTGTTCTTTTTTTTATAATCCCAACACTATTTAGACCTCGGTTTTGTTGCTTTGCCAACAACAGCAAGACACATGCTGTGTAGCCAGAAAAATCTTCCATTGCAAACAAGACACTGATGCATGTTTGCACCTCAGGGCGAGAGGCTTCGCTGAGCAGCTGCATTTTACACCTCCTAGATGAGAAAAGAAGGGTTCTGTTTTTTTTTTTTTTTCTTTTCTGCTGCACTACAGGACTCAGGGTGAATGCTCTCTTTAACCAGTATCAACCTGAAAGGCTTCAGCGAAGACAGAAAAGCTACCCTGGATTTACACTGCTGATGGCAGGAACAGAATTTGCCAGACGGTGAGATTACAAAATCTTGCATCGTAAGACTAAGGACTGTGCCCTCATAAAATTCCTGACATGTAGATTGGGTTATAAAGCAGGCAGTGACAAATCAGCAGGACATCCTTTAAGTAACGGCAAGCACTCCAAATCCCAAGCACTTAAAAAGAAGATTTACCTTTGCTGCTGCTTTGTTGTTTTGTGTTTTTTTTTCTGTCTGTAAATTATTGCCACTGAGTTTAATAGGGCTTACACAATATTGTAAGCAACTCTTAAGTAATACAATGTTATTTGTGAGCCCAGTCATGCTTGAAAGCTTTTTTTTTTTTTTAACTAGGGGAGAAATCTTCCATTTTCCATGTGACTCATTCATAATGGAAACCGATAAAACCTCTGTTTGCAAGCAAAGAGAATAAAACTGGGAGACGTTTTTATATGGCATGCACAATATCACTTAGGCACTTTGAGGAGCTGTTTTGAGATTCAGCCCCACATCATTGCTTTGGCCACCGAGCTTGGTCATCGCAGCCAGGCGAGGGTTCCCAGAGCGGGAATTCCTCTTAGCCCGTGTTTTATAGAAATGTTTATATTGCATCTTTACAGAACGGAAGTAGCTTTTGAGCTCAACAAAAGTGCTGTTTAATTTGACACTTATAAATTAACCAAAGACGAGAGATTTTTGCATGGGAGAGCGACAAGAGAAAAGCGATACGGATTGTTGGTCCACTTACATCGTTTGGAATAGTAAGTTCATGGGAACTGGTTGGAGTGGTGGCATCCAGTCCTAGTTAGGGACAGAGGGAAAACATTACGCCGGCGCTTTGCAAACAGGACAAGACATGACAAATGATACTTTAAAGAAGGAAACATACGGAGAGAAAAGAGAGAAGCAAAGAAAAAGTAGAGAACTGCTAGCAAAACAGAAAGAAAAGCAAGAGATGCAAAACTCAGCGGGCTGGACTACTCTTAAATGAGCCTTATTTTAATTCACCTTTAACCCACCGAAATAACAAATGTCACATGAGGTTCCACAGGGTTATAAAAAACTTCTGAAAAAATGAAGGGTTTCACCTAAGAACAATCTTTGACATTTTTGCTAAATACATTAATTCAGAAATTAAGAGATGGCTGAAATTTAACCTGACTACCGGGAGTTCTAAAATACAGAAAATGGAAGTGGAAATCAGACCAAAAATTAATAAAACAAACTATATAGATATATATATATATTTGGAAAGAAAAATTAATACATTAAATACGGATGAGGAAAAAACTGGGAGAATTTGGAAATTACATGTGGGATTAGTTCCTGAAGAAATGTTGGGGAGGGTAATTTTTAAAGGGAAAAGAAAAAAATACTGTAAGCTGCATACATTTGTTTTTAAATTGGGTGGACAAAAGGAAAATGCTTGGGAGAAATGGAATTACTGCTCTAGCACACAGTAACATTGCAGAAACAATACATCTCACAAATACAACCAGGAAAAGATTAAGGAAAGGCATGTTAATGACAAGAATAAGGAAAATATAAAGCCAGGAAAGGCAATTTAGTATTACTTATAAATATTTTATCAGATACACCATTTGTAGAAATAAAAATATTTTGGATGCAATTTCTTTCTCTCCTTTTCTCTTTTACTTTATTATTACTCTGTAGTGACATGCCACAAATATGCATTTCCAACTAGAAAAGATGGAAAAGAATCTTACAAAAAAAAGGAAGTGACTCACCCATATTTTATTTAAGAATTGTGTATGCTTATTTTACATGGAACATAAACCAGCAACTGATCCAATCTGCCTAAAAAATTTGATGTATGTGATAAAATGTTATTTGCCATACAAAATATGTACCAGTATATAAGCACTTTTGTCATATTATTCTTAGACGCCAAGAACATACATATTGAAGTACAATAAAATGGGTTATTGCAGGTTTATGCAGCTTGAGTTTTCTTTTTTAATAGAAAAGTCAGCTTTATTTGACTTGTTGTAACAAGTAGCGACCAACTCTCTCAGTCTGTGAGTGAGCTAAATTTCTGCTGCATTATGCGAGATACCCACTGGAGGTTTGTTGCAGCAGTGCTGATTATAGCTGATGTCAAGGCTCTGCAAGGAAATCCAGTTTTGGCATGCAGTGCTTTTTTTAATCAGGATTTCCATACTGCAAGAACCTACAGTTTCCCCATATTTGCTTCTTCCCGGAACAATCTGCTGAGCTGGGAATTGGAGAAGACAAAAGCCAAAGCGGTTCCCCCACTGCCAGCTGGTACATACTGTATAGTGCATAATAACCTGACAAGGGCTGGAGAAAAGAAACAGAGCTTTTAGCCAATGGCACAAATTAAGTAGGTGGTTTGGATTAAACAAACGGCACGAACCAAGCACGACATTTTAGTAACGACGAAAGGAAGGGCAACGAGAGGCACGGGTTGGGGGGCAAGAACAGAGACTCGTGTGCGAGAACGAAAGGATCACCGGTCATTGCGCACATTTCTTGTAAAAATGATGTAATGACCGTGGGAAACAAAGCTGCTGTTAAGAAGAAGGACATCCCCAGGGGGTGACGGGTACGTACCAGGGAAACCAGGGGTGGTCTGCCCAAGGGGAGTAAAGGGGGGATGCTGCATAGCCAACTGGTGAAGCTTGGTCAACTGCAGGGCAGGATGGGAAATTAGAACTAACCAATCAAATGGAATTATTTCAGAGCAGAGAAACCATCTTACATGTTCTAAAACTGGATTAATTAGAATTATATTGACAAAAGAAATAAAAAAATAAACAACAACAACAAAAAAAAGGTTTAATCATTCATTCTAATCTACCGTCGAGAGAAAGAAACTGGTTACAAATGACATCTCTACTGTTATTACATGTAATGGCTATTGTTAATTATTAACTAATTATCTGTAGAATTACATATTAAAAAAAAAGAACTCAAATACATCACATGCAAAAAAAAAAAAAAAGAAAAAAGAAAAAAAAAGACCAAGGTAACTGGCATTTGTTCTTGGGCCATTGTGCTTTCCTGCAGTGACTACTAAGGAAAGGCGCCCTCGGGCCGTGGTTAGCTGTAGAAAGCAAATGTTGCCCAGAACAAATAAGAGGGAGAGAAAGAAAATGGGGATAAATTACATGCGCTGGACTCACGTCTGGATGCGGGATGGCATACTGGCCCTGAATCGTAAACGCCTGCGAATAACAAGCACAAGGGAGACACGGATCAGGCAGCTCGGCCCACAGCGTTCCCTTTCCAGCGGGCCCCAGCTAGCGCCGCACTTTCTCTTTTAAATCTTTCTAAGACAGGGAGAGGATTAATTTTCTTGTGCTGCTTGACATCGCTGGCCAACACTGGGAGGCTCTGCAGCCCTTCCCCGTCCGCCCCGTGGCGAGACGTGTTGAAGGGAGCTGCGGAGGACTGGGTTGGGGACCCTCCTCCACGCGCGGCCAGGCCTCATCGTGCACAAAAAGCCAAATATCCACCCCAAATCCAGCTCTGTGCACCTCGGGCACTGCAGTGCCGGGGTACTGCTTCTCGTGCCATGAACCAGCCTGTCCTGCCCGCTCTGCTCGGTGCCCAAAGCTTAACAAACAAACCATACATGAAGTACAATCTGCTATGACACCCTGTATGGCTTTTCTAAAAGAAAAGGCACCTCAGAACAATTTTAGAGGGCTCGTGCTTAGACAGGCAGGAAAGCAGAAGTCCAAATTATAACGTACAAATATTTGTACTGGGAGAATTATAACCAGGCAGAGAGCTGATTAGCTTAGTTTGCAAAGCATTTATTTGACAAAAGGCCTCTTAGAAAGTAATGAATCCTCTGCAAATGATAAAACAATTCATTTAACCGAGTTTGGATATTAAAACCTTTAATGACCCAACAACTTAATGCACATTTCTGCAGGGGAATTTCCCTTCTGGAGGGGAAGCACTCCATTTAGTTTTCAAATTAGTTGTAAAGCAAGGCCACAATCCGGCAAACATCATGAACACGAGCGGTTTTTGAGGCAGAAGTATGCTCTTGAGCTCACCAGGATGTTCATGAGCATACATACTCGCACTTGTTTACGGGGGATGGCTGTTACCAGCAGCCTATAAATGAACAGAAAAGGCTCCAATCCAGCAAAACAGATCATCACTGCCACTAGTGGGTCTTAAGCAAGCACGTATTTAAGCAAGCAAGCAAGCAAAGCATGTGTTAAAAAGTGCTTTACCAAAGGAGGACGAGCCTAAGCGAATGCTTTGCTGATCGGGGCTTTGTGCCTACGGTGGAGGACTGGACTGGAGCAGATGTTGTCTTTGGGAAAGATGCTAAATTTGTGATAAATACTGGCTCTGTGAAGTATTAATTTGGTCCCATAGCACAGCCAAGTATAAATTCTGGGGTTGTTTCTGTTGGATTTTGTAAGGGGAAGAGCAGAGCCGGGCAGGATAGCGTTCAGCCTCCTTTTGGTCTTGTCATGCAATGCAACATCAAAGCAGCATAAGAGAATTAAAAACAGTGTTTCAAGCAGCTAAAATGCCAGCTTGTTAAATAAATAACAGAGGTTGGATTTTGCTAGCATCGCTTGATATGCAGGAATTAAAAAGCAAAACATTTCAAGATAGCCACAGTGTAATTCAGCATAGAAAAATAACTTCTGATACTACAGCAAAAAGGTTGGGTGGACTTAATGCTGCTGAAAAAGTTTTATTTTCAATATTAATTTCCAGTCAGCACACTTGGCATTTCAACATCTGCTACAGATGTTTTCCACACTGACTCCCAAACCCATCTCAGGCATTTTCTAAACTCCTGAAAAGTCACTGAGGAAATACTACGACTCGGGTTAAAATGGGCAGAAAGAAAATGTCTCATGTACTCTTTCTTGTCTCAACAGGGCTGCATTAAAAAGGCAGGGAACACTCTTTTTGACTGGTAAAATCAGAAATGAGAAGAATTTAGAGAACTATTAGTCATTTAAACAAAACACTTTCAATTATTTATATAGACTGCTCAGAGCACCCTAGTGAACTGCTTCAGTATTTTTGAGTAATCATGGACACAGAGACAGTCTTGGAAGACAGTGTCCATTACCACACTGGCAACACGGGCTGTTACTTATATACGCACATACATTACTTGAAGAAAAGCACTGCATTATAAACTTAATAAGTTTCTTGAATAATTTTTTTTTTCCAGACTTTCCAACGTAAATCAATTTCTGGCAGTTATTTTTAATTTCTTTCAACTTGGTCAGTAAGGAAGCAAATTTCTTTTTCTGAAGAAGCAGTAGGCCCCGATACAAGGAACTGATATCTATTATATCCAGCTGAGAAAATACAGACAAAATACACAGTTACAGAATAGAAGATGTAACACTGAAGTAAGATCAAAAAAAAAAAAAAACTTGAAAGCTCACTGCAAAGGCTGGTCAGAAGCAATAAAGGTGCAGGAGCTTTCTTACAAACTGGCAGAGAAAATTCATGTCTCATCTCACCTCATGTCATGGGCCTGTTTCAGGGGATATCCAAAGGCAAGGAAGACTCACTCACCCCATGGGGTGTGCAAAGAGGCTTTAAAAGTCAGGGAGAATCCTAATTCATGAGGCTTAAGGTGAAGGGAGGACAGTCAAGCCTACACTACTTAAAAAACAAATGGGAGAGCTGTAGATGTTATGAAGTAGGCTGTACACTTCATGGCTGGGAAGGTCTACAGTTGCATATATGTATTTTCTGCAACCTCAGAAGTGCACTTCTGCTTGGTCCTAAGGGACTATAGTGACAGAAATAATAATGTGTGCAAGTAATTTTACTACAAAATGCATGATCTGGTCCAAATAAAGATGAAAACTATGGGAGAAGAAGTTTGCCTTTCCTGACTAGAGCCATTCTGCTGTTTGATCATCACTTGTGCTCTGCTGAAAGGCTGCCAAGAACTACTTGTAGCGCTGAAGAGTGCAAAAGCAACTCCTGCCATAATGGATTTGGACACCTCTCGGTTGACAGGACAGCAGAGTCGTTCTGCATTACAGA